CGGGCAGCGGGGCGCGCGGGGCCCCGGGCTCGCCGGGCGGGCAGAGGGGGGCTGGTGGGATCGCCCGGCCGGGAGAAGAGTCGCCACAACAAACGGGAACAAAGGGGGCCGGCCGAGAAGTTGGCAGGGGGAGACCGGGGCGAGGGGACGCGGCCGGGGCAGGCGCCGGCGGAGGCGGCGGGCGGAGCGCCGGCCCGGCCCGGCCCGCCGCCCCTCGCCGCGCCCGCAGCCTGGCCGCCGCCCCGCCCGCCCGGGGCTCCGGCCCGGAGTCGCCGCCCGGCCGGTCGCCCTGCCTGGCCGGCCGCAGCGCCTTCCTTCCGGGCGGCGACCGGCTCGCCCCAGCTCCGGGTCTCCAGAAATTGCCCTCCTCCCCTCCCCCCCGCGGTCCCCGTCGCGCCCCCTTCCCCGGTCTTTATCAAACTTCCTCGGCCGCGGGGCACTGGGACGGGGGCGTCGGCAGCGCCAGCCCGGCGGGGCTGCGAGGAGTAAACAGAGCAACAGATGAGGCACTCTCGGGGACTTAAAAGATGCCAGTCGGAAGTTTGGGGCCGGGGGTCCCGGGCAGGCCGGCAGGTCGGCTCGGACCGTGCCCCCCAGCCAACCACCCCAGCACACCCTGTCCTGGCGGGGGTGGAGTGGGTGGCGTGGGCAGCGGGGCCCGGGGGGACAGCCTCCGGTCTCAAACCCCCCGCGTCGCCCCCGCACCGCAGCTCAAACTTTACAAAGAGTGAAATTTCCCATCGCCCGAGGGTCCGGCGACACCCGGACGGCCCGCGGGGCTCGCAGCCGGGGCCCTGGTGTGGGCGAACTTTCGCCGGCCAGTGGGCACTTTGGGTCGGGAGGCGGGGGCGGCGAGCGTCGCCCTCTGCCTCCGCAGCCGCCTGCGTTTCGGGTTTGACGTTTGTGAGAGCTGGGGCCGCCTCCGCCGCCAAGCCGTCGACTCGTGTGTTTTGTAATCAAAGTGTGAGGCTAATAAAGGGCGGCGCCACAGCCTCTTGACTCCGGCGTGGGAGGGATTCGCAGGCATTTAAACAAAGAAACTAGTTGGGGTTGGGCTCCCAAAGTCCTTATTTGGGTGTTGTGGCAAAGCCTGCGGTCACCTTTAGGTGAAGCAGGTTACGCGAGCACCGTTTGGTGTTGTATCTCGACGAGAGTACGCTCACGGTTAATAGCAGATATGGTGACTGTGATTGTAGGAAGTGTCCTTTGATTGACAGCAGGACATTTAAATACAGCCTCCGCTCCCCCCTCCCCAATTTTACAGAAACACTACACGACCAGGCCAGATGTCTTAGTCTCCCTCTACTGGCCACTTACGTTACAGCGTTCTTTTCAGTGTTCAGTGCTAGGTACATTTAGTTTTACTTAATCTTCAAGTAGTTTTATTTAATCAGCTTGCACAATTCTGACAGCGACAACAGCGAAAAAGAAAACCCTAAAATTGCCACTGTAAAAGAGAGACAGCGTCCTAATTTTGTATATCGGGTAATGGTGCAGAGTCTGGTCTATGCTTGGGGAATGTTATTAGAACTTTGCCACACGTAATTAAGAATAAATTAAAGTTCTTTTTTATTATTCGAAATAGCTTTTTTCTGTATTTTGATTACATGTAAAACTGAAATTTGAACATACCAAATCTTGCCAGTTCTATTTCTATATCCTCTGTTCCCATAATATACCCTAGGCAACCAGAGTAGATTATCCAAAAATCTAGGTTACATGTAGAATAAAACCAGAATCCCTGGTGATTATGTAAATACTTACTTTTTTCAAGGAACTGTTTTAGCTGCATAAGAAACTTTTTCTATTGTGCATTGTAGATACGTTCATAAATTTTAGACTAGAATTTTATTTACCTTAACTTAGCTAATTTAACACTATAACCATGAAAAACCGCAGGTAATTTATGGAAAATTTTGTAATGCATTTAAGTATAAATTTGAAAACAGAAGTTTGAAGGGCAAATAAAGAGGGCGTGTTTGAAGGAGAGTGAGGCCAAAGCAAGTCTGCTCTACTTTATCACATAAATTTATGTGACTTCATATCTGTGCAAGTGACTCTGAAGTATGTGTTTTTTTGACCAGCAGTCCTTGAGAATTTAATGTGGTTCAGATGTCAAAAGTTAGAAAATTTAGTAATAATGCCCTGTCATGCAAAAGCAGTTATCTTTTTAGCAGTTATCTTCTTAGCAATTTTCTTTTTTATTTTATTTTATTTATTTATTTGAGAGAGAGAGAATGAGAGATAGAGAGCATGAGAGGGTAGAGGGTCAGAGGGAGAAGCAGACTCCCTGCTGAGCAGGGAGCCCGATGCGGGACTCGATCCGGTGACTCCAGGATCATGACCTGAGCCGAAGGCAGTCGCTTAACCAACTGAGCCACCCAGACGCCCCTTCTTAGTAATTTTCTTAATGAAGTATGAGTAATCTGGGTAACGTTAGAGAAAATAGTGTTTATTGTACCATGAAGGGAGTGATTGCTTAACAAATTGAACACATCAAAATGTTCCTCATGTATTAATTATTAAACAAATATCATTTGCTTAAGTGAGAATTGGTCCCTAAAGTACTAAGGTATAGTTTTAATCTCCATGCTACGCTTTCCTTTGGTTTCCAGGGTGGTCCATCTGCAGAGGAGGGAGGGAGGGAATAGGAGGCTGTTACAGAGAATTACCATTACCATGATAATTTCTTGATGATTTTATTACTTCAAGTAGAAGAATTTTTTAAACTTGAGTCAGTGAATTTTGGTATAAATTTGAGTTTACTCTCTCTGGAGTTTCTGACATCTGGAAATCTGAAAAGTTTTTGCCCTCATTTAGCCTGACAGGGAAGGAGGGGCTCTTCCTTGATGTTTTTTAGCCAGCCAGCAGAGTGAATGGGACCAGCTTCCTCCAGGTTTGAGGCTGTTGAAGTACTGCATCTTTGGTGTTCAGGAATTCCATTCCTCAGTCTGCCTAAGGCTTTTTTCTAAGTGGGAGGGGAGAAGAACACTTGCCAAGGTACAATGTGTAATTGATATCCTAAGGACAGTGAGCTGAGGAATTAACAGGATTTTCCTGGGAATGTTCCTTCCAACCTAGACATGGAGTTCTTCCTCTCTGGGCCCTTGGTGGAAGTAAGACAATGGAGATCTTTCCTGATAATACCCCACCCCCTTATCTCTTCTAGGCTAGAGGTCTTTCCTTAGTACTCTTAATATCATCCTCTACAAAACTGTATCACTGCCCTAATTAAATTGTGTTATAATGTCTTCTGTCTCCTCATTTGAATGTAAAAACCTTTGTTTACTAGTCTTTTTAGTCACATATTCTCTTTGACAAAATTAATATAGAAAAAATGGGAAGTACAGAAAAGTATTAAGAATATGAAAGTACCCACGTCTTCCAGGTATTACCACTATTTTAACATTGAAGGTATATGCATATATTTAAAAAAACTGGAATTCATTTTGGGCATTCCACTGTTAACCTAACTTCTTTTATTAACCTATACTTTTTCCTGTGTCTTTAATGTTCTTTGAAAACATTTTCATTGGCTGCATATGCTTAATTTCACAGAAGTACAATACAGTATAAAAATCATTCACCTTTTGTTAGTTTTTTACCTTCTTTACCATTACTTCTTATAATTCCTAATGATGGATGGTTGACATCCTTCTAAACCATTGTGAGCATCTCTAATATTTCCTTAGAATAAGTCACATGAATTAATACATGTAAAACACTTAGAAGATCTGGCACTTGTAGGTACTCAATAAGAAATTTCCTTGACGTAGAATTATTGGTCTCAGGGCACAGATATTTTCAAGCTTCTGGTGCCTATTGCCAGATTGTCCTCCAGAAAGGTTATTCTACTTGATACTCTCACCAGCAGTGCCCACTTCTAGTTCCCTGCATCATCCCCAATCTAAGTTATTATTAAACTCTACCCCCAAAACCAATCAAACACTTTGCCAGTCTGCAGATAATGAATATTTCCACCAAAAGACATACCCAAGATTCTTCACAGCAGTTCTATTCATATCCCCAAACCGGAACAACCTAAATGTTACCAGCAGTAGATTGGATAAATTGTGGTATATTCATTAAAAAAGAATGCGTGACTGATAGATACATGCAGCAACATGGGCAGCTCCCTGCTTGGTGGGGAGTCTGCTTCTCCCTCTCCCACTCCCCCTGCTTGTATTCCCTCTCTTGCTCTCTCTCTGTCAAATAAATAAATAAAATCTTTAAAAAAAAAACCATACAAGGTTGAATAAAAGAAGCCAGGCACGACAGCGAATATTGTTTGAGTCTATTTATATGAAGTTCAAGTACAGGCTTAATTGGGTGCCAGAAGTCAGACTGGTGCTTACCTCTGCTGGGGGTATTTACCGAGAGGAGGCCCAGTCAAGGGAGCTTCTGAAGTTCGGGAAATGTTTTATATCTTGATCTTGGGTGGTGGTTACATTATGTACACAGATGTAAAATTTCACTGAGATGGATGTGCACTGGAGATTTTTAAAAAGTATTGCAATGGCTGAAGTGTACTTCAAAGTTTAAAAAATTAATAATTTACCAGTTGGGTAGCTGACATGTGGTATTTTGTGATTTTGTTTCTTGTTCCTGTCTTTAATGGGATTGCCTCTTGTGTTTTATTGTTAAGTATGATCTTGGCTTCGGCCCAGAGCTGCAATGTGCGTGGCGCTGTTCTTGGTGCTAGGAATATAGCAGTGAACAAAACAGTCCTTGCTCTCTTGTAACTTCTATTCTAGTGGGGGAAGTTAGATAAATATACATGACAGAAGAAAAGGAAATTGAGTTAGGAGAAAAGAAAGGCCTGGGGATAGTATAAGGCCACTTT